CTTAATATTTAGGGAATCTGAGTAAGGCTATATAGGAACTCTTCTGAAATTATTTAAAAATTTGAACATTTAAAGACTCTAAAAACAAGACTAGGGATATAGCTTAATGTAGAACACTTGCCTAGCGTGTGCCAAGCCCTGGGCTTGATGCCCGCACTTCAAAAACAAAAAACTAAAACTAAAAACAATCAAACAGAAAATGGTTAAGGAGGATGGAAAGAAAATGTCTGCAAAGCACAATCAGGAATGATGACACCTACCCCTACCTCCCAGTCTCCTGATAAGAGAGGTATGAAGGAGCTGCTGAAGGAAAAAATTGTTAAAGGAGAAGCCAGACCATTACTCAAGCAGTGGTTCTCAGTGTGGGCAGTTCAGGAATGTTTTGAGGCACTTTTGAGTATCACAATAATTAGTGACATTTAGTAGGCAGGGACCACAAATGCTCAGCATCCTGCAGTGCAAGAGATAGCTCCACATAACAAAGAATTGTACTATATCCCATACAACTTTAGAATATCACACCAGACCATCATGTATATGAAAAGTCTGTTCATTATTCATTTAACATTTACTGAGAAAGCCTACTATGTACCAAGCACTGTTTTAGGTAACAGAGATATATCAGGGAACAAAAAAACAAAAATCCCTGTGCTTCTGGAATGTACAATAGAGTCTGCCAATAAACAAACTTCAGAGAGGTAAGTCATATAGTCATGTGTTGCAGGATATTTCAGACTGCATATATGACAATGATCCCATAAGATTAAACTGCCTAGTGTGTTACTCAGCTTTCCATTTATATGATGATACCTGAGCAAATCAGCTTAAAAGAAGAAAAGATTTATTTTTCCTCTTGATTTCAGAGGTTTCAGTTCATGGTTGGTTGGCTGGCTTTGAGGCCTGTGGTGAGGCAGAACATCATAGTGGGGAATATGTGGTAAAACAAATATGTTCAGCTCATGGTGGCTGGGAAGCAGAGAGAGAGAACAAGGAAAGGGCCTGGGGACAAGATATCCCCCTCAAGGACATACTCCCAATGACCTACTTTCTCCAACTAGGCCTCACTCCTTAATGTTTCCACCATCTCCCAACAGCATGGGGACCAAAACTTCAACATATGAACCTTTGAGGGACATTTCAGATTCAAACTATAACACCTAGAGAGGGTATAGCAGTGATAATTTGCATAAAATGTGCACACAATGACAAAATCACCTACAACACATTTCTCAGAACATATGCCCATTGTTAAATGACAGACACATGACTGTATTATGTAAGAAGGCAAAGAATACCACAGAGTAACAGCAGGGTTAGTGCTAGGGGAGAACTGAAATTTTAAACAGGAAAGTCAATGTAGCCGTCATTGAGAAAGTGATATCTTAGTAGAGGCCTGAAGGAAGTATTCAAAAGTTAGGATGAGAAAGGTAATCCCTGAAGGTGAGTTTCAGAAGACCTAGTAGAAGGCATTCAAGATGAGGACCAAAAAGAGGATGTTCACCAGCAATCCTAGCACTCTGGGAGGCTGAGGCAAGAGGATCACAAGTTTGAGCCCAGCCTGGACAACTTAGAGTCCCCCCCGCCCCTTTTCTTGAGACAGGGTTTCACTTTGTGGCTCAGGCTGACCTTGAACTCACTATGTGGCTCAGGCCTTGAATTCTCTTTGATCCTCTTGCCTCAGCCTCCCAAGTGCTGGGATCACAGGTGAGTGCTGAGATCACAGGCAGGCACCACCACGCTCAGCAAGACTATCTCAAAATAAAAAGGCCTGAGGATGTAGCTCAAGTGTGAATGAAGACCCTGTCTGTGTTCAATCTCCAGAGCCGAAAAGAAAGTGAGGCATGTGTGTGGAAAAAAAGAGGATGTCCAGGGCTGCCTTTAACCAAGAGATCCCTGGGCTTCTCGTGGTGATTAACATTATATAGGATGTTGCTCCCCATCCTGGGTGTCTCTACCTGTTTAAAAGAATAGCCTGGGGATGGAGGGGGGGGGGGTTGTCTCTCCTCAATAAAACCAGAAGTAGCCCAAGGGCAGGCATCATTTTTCACCCTGACCTAAGGCCATGCTCATATAAACAGTGCAATTCTAGCCTCTTTAGGGATGGGAAAGAGGTTGAAAGAGGAAAAATAACAGAGAATGAAAGCATTCTGAAGAAAGATACATCAGGGGAAGGATCAGAGACAGGGACAAAACAAAAATACAGTCCAAGAGAAACAATACTCTTCAATTACGACAGTCACTAATTATTGACAAATTTCTAGGGGTCAGTAACTGGGCAAAGTGATGCAGCCCCATTTCACAGATGATGAAACTAAGGCCCAGACAGGTGAAGTAGACAGCTCAAGGTCTCATACGTAGTTGTAACTGGCCGAGGTAGGATCTACGCCTCCAAGGTCTGGGTTGCCTAGTGTGACCCAGGAGAGAGCGGCAGTGACTGTGAGGTGGGGGAGAGATGGAGACCGACAGGCACACAGGAGATCACATGAGTGGCAGACTGGCACAGAATCATTACCTAGGAGACTGTGGGGAGGGAGTGGAAGGAGGGCGCAGGCGGTGAGCTCCGCAGTGTACTCACCTGGTTGCCCTCTAGGGGCCGCTGGAGCATTCGCCCTCCCTTTGCCACCTGCAGGATCCTCTGGCACCCGCTGGCCTAGGGTTGAGAGGCCGCCTAGGTAAAAGCTCCCTCAGCCCCCACCCCTTCCTGCGCTCCAACCCCGCCTCTTCCACCTGCCATTCCCCCGCCCCCGCCCCATTTCACGGCTTCTCACCCGACACCCGGGCCTTCTGCTCTGCCAGTAGGCCAAGTGACGCCAGGGGCCCGCAGCAGGATCTCGCGAATACACTGGATGCTTCCCTCCCTCTGGCTCGAGCTGGAGCGGGGTCACCAGTCTCCACCTCTACCGAAGGCTTCAAGGTTCCCATTGGAGGAGTGCCTCCAGCCTTCCCCGGAATTGGCGGAGATAGAAACACTTTATTTTTACCCCCTAGGCCAGGATCCAAGCAGAAGAAAACTCCGCCCCTTTGGGGGTCTCTGATTGGTTTACGATCCAAGCCCACTCTTTAATAGGATTGGCCGGGAAAGGAGCTCTCTTTACTGTGTATTGCCCGCCTATTAGGGCTTCAGAGGTTTAATTGGGAACATGCAAAAGAGGCCAAAGCCTGGCCCGCGCCAGACCCTCAAGTTTCCCCTCCATAAACTACGCTGCATTTCGACAGCTCTGCTAAGAGACATAACTCTGTCCCCAGTTTTCCACAGCTGCACAACCACGTTTCTGAGACAGGTTTTTCTCTCTGTCTTGTGGTTTACAGAGTTCCTAATTCCATCCATGGAGGGTAGGTGGATATAGTGTATCAACTCACCAGCCTCTGCTTCTTACTGAAACATTGGTCAAGTGGCAGCCCTGCCAGGTGCCTTAGTTTAACCATCCGTGAAATGGAAAGATATTTAATCCTCCCCACAGTGTTGTACGGATTAAATAAGAACATAAAATAATTCCTTGAGGAATAAATAATTAAGGTCTCTTCTCCCAATGTTCAGGCAGAGGAAACTACAGCCAGGAGGGCCAAACTAATTGGCTTGAAATCACACAGCCACTGCCCAGAATAAAACCCAGGCTTCTGTTTTCCAAAGAAAAGCTATTTAGGAAGGAATGAAGACAGGAAGGACCCTCCTATTAACAGGGGTTTTAATTTGGGTTTCACAGACCTCCAGTTGAATCTGGGGGCAGGGTTTGGAGGGGGAGGGGCTCATCAACCTGGATGGGGAAAAGATTTACATCTTTTATTTCCCTCTCTGCTAACTAAAGTTTAGTACAGTACTTTTGAATAAAGAATGCAACTAACCATATTGGTAATAGTATTGCTAACTGTCACCAATAGAAATCACAGAGATTTTCACATCACATTATAGATTTTGCAGATCTCTTAAAATATATAATCTCATCACTGTCCTTAGGCTCTCCATAAAATTGTAGGATTTAATGGACTAATGGGGAGCATATATATTACTATAGCACATATTTGCTTTTTCCATATTTTAGTAACCACTTATATAGTATTTCAACATAATCAGTTTCCTCTGAAATTCTAAGTATTTTATGGACTTAATTTTTTTTTCTGAGGAAAGGTTTGTAGGCTTTGCTAGGTCGCCAAAGAGATCGTGGCACAAAAAATTAAACCTGAACTCTGGGCTCCAGGAGGACAAAGACTTGGTTTCTCTTGTGTCTTTGCTGTGTCCCTATCATCCATTCTAGTATGGCACATACAATCAGTGTTCAACAAGTGTTTATTGAATGGATAATAGGATTCCTCTTCAACCATCCTCTACACTCCCAACTGAAGAAACCAGAGCTGGCTTTTGGTCACCTAAGAAGGAGACATGTTCTTGAATCTAGTTTTGTTGTTGGCAATTTGATTCTGTTCACAGAGATGGACAGTACTTTAATGGTCTGGCCCCAGGAGATTGTGGGAACCATTACACCTAGGAGCAGTGCCCTTTGCTGCAGAGGGAGTAAGTTATAAAGGATATGAAGACAAGTAGTTTCGGCATGGGAACAGGCACAGGAACAGGGTGCATTGGGACTGTGGCTATTCATCCTTCTCCTGGTTTCTGTTTAAGGTCCCAGGAAATAGCGCCTGACTTCTCTGATCTTCAGTAAAGACTGTATTTTGAAGCTAGATGTGATCATAAAAACCTTCTAGAAGAGCCCTCCCCCCTTTTTTTGGAGGCACAAACTGAGAAGTGAGGGCACAGAGAACAAGATGTTGCTCTGGGCAAAGAACATCTTCTCCTTCTGTGCCTCAGGCCAGGACATGAGCACCCTTGCCAACTACAATAGAATCCCATAACTAGCTCCTAACGGCGGCTCTGAAGTCCAGAGGTTCTCTCTGACCAAGTGGATGAAGAGGAAACTCAAATGCCAGGATGAAGTGCTAGAGATTTGATTGGAGAGGGGGCAGAAAGTAATCAGGGATGAGTATGATAAAGGCTAGACTTCAGACTAGCTTCAGGGCTAGACTCCATCTTGGGATCTTGAGCAGGTTGCTTTTCCTGGGCTGATACCCCAACATGATTAGCCTAAGGTTATAGATAGGAAAACTGTTGTGTAGTAAAGCAGATTGAGGCAAGAGGAACCAGGCTGGAGCTGGGGAGATAGCTCAGTGGTAGAGTGTTTGTCTAGGGTGCACAAGGCCCTGAGTTCAATCCTCTGTATCAGGGGGAAAAAAAGAGGAGCCAAGTTGGCTACCTCTGGGACTAGCTAAGATCCTCTTGCCAGGCTGACCTCTTCCTGGCCCATTCTAGGGCCTTTCAGCCTAATACCTCCCTTTCCCCCTTTATCACATGTGCCCACTGAGACTGGTTCCAGATAGTTCCGGGGGATGTCTATTTACTCTGCACAAGATGCCTTGACTTAGGATTCTGCATTCTCAGCTCTATCCCGGGGGTATTGTATTACTGTGGACAAGATGTATCCTTCCTTTTTTTGTAGTTTTTTTCTTTTGAGATAGAGTCTCATATGTTGTCCAGGCTAGTCTAGAACTTCTGGGAATTAATCCTCCTGCCTGGGGCTCCTGAGTAGCTGGGACTACAGGTGTGTATCACCACACCCAGCTAAGATGTTCCCCTTTTCTAAGATTCAGTCTTTTCTATCCATCTCTAACAAAGTGAATCAAGGTCAGAACCAGAAACATCAAAATCTCCATCCTCTTCCCAAAACATTTATCAGAAGCATCAAGAGTTATTTCCATGATTTGGTGTTCAGTCATTTGAAAGAAGAGGCCCAGACAGGGAAGCGGTCTTGCCAAAGGCTCCGCAGCAACCTAGCAGTCATCCTGTCTCCTCCCATATCTAAAGCCTGTCAATTTTAGTATTTTAAAAGCTCTCATGGAATGGACAGATTTCTCATGTGGAACAAATCCAATTAATTTACGTAGATACTTTCAAGGAAATGAATCATAACTCTCTAATTCCTTAAGCATGGGCTGCACTTAGTGGCTTCTTTCCAAAGAGTGTGTGTACCACAGAAAACAGAGAAACAAATAACTTTAGAGTGGAGAAACCCAACAGATTCTACCTCAGCCAGGTCAAGTCATACTGATAGTTATGTATACTTGATATAATGAAAATAGCATTTTATTTCAGTGGTCTTCCTCCCCAAACCCATAACCTTCTTTAGTCATGAGAAGAAACATCAGACAAATCCCAGGCAAGGAAAATTCTACAAAATACCTGACCAGTACTCCTCAAATGGTGAGTTCGGGTCATCAAAAACAAGAAAAGTGTGAGAAAGTGTCACAGCCAAAGAAGAGCCTAAAGAGATATGATGACTAAAATGTAGGGTGGTATTCTGGATGAGATCCTGGAACAAAATGGGACGATAGGTTAAAACTAAGGAAATCTGAATAAAGTATGGACTTTGGTTAATCTTTATGAGCTGATATTGGTTCTTTAATTTTAACAAATATTCCACACTAATGTAAAATTCTAATAAGGAAACTGTTAGTAAGGTATGAAGGATTTCTCTGTATTATCTTTGTAATAATTCATTAAATCTATTTTTTTTTCTCAGTACTGGGAATTGAACTCAGGTCCTTGTGCTTGCCAGGCAGGCACTGCACCGTGGAGCTACATCCCTGGCCCAATTCATTAAAACTACAACTGTTCTGAAATTTAAAATTAAGGGGGGGGGGCTCCCACGTCTCTGTGCCACTGTCTTATAAGCTTTAGTGTCAATTTCCCCACTGCTCTCCCTCCCTCTCCCCAGTTCTCCTGGGAGCCAGTAGAGGGCACTCTTGAAAATACAAATCTGACCACATCTGAAGACTTAGTGCAAAATAAAAGCCCTGGATAGAATGTTCCGGAGATACACTGTATCCTAAAAGACCAGAAACCAGAGTCTGTGATAGTTACCATTATGATCCAGAATGAATCTGGGAAATATTTCTGCTGTCCACTGAAATAAAATTCCTGTATCCAAAATTTAACACAGCTCAGCTTTTCCAAGGTCTCCCAGGTAAAGTCTGCTTTTCGGAGCTCCAACTCCCAACCTCCCCACTCCATTGCACAGCTGGAGGTTTTCCCTTTATCTGTATACAAACTCCTCGGCTTAGCCATCTTTTTTCCTGCCCCCCCCGCCGCCCCTCCGCCCCTCCGCCCCTCCGCCAGGCCCAGCTGCAGCAGGACCTTGCACCACCTCCCAAAGAGAGCACTCTAGCTCTACTGGGCTATGGTACTATTCGTGCTTTTTGTTTCAGTAAGAAACATGCCAACGAGAAAAATGGACTCCTCTGGCTCTCCTACGCCCAACTCACACTAGGCCCGAAGAAAGGTTTGACGCACTCTAAATGAAAAGATGAATCACCAAATAAATTGATGTTCTAGGGCACAGAACATCTCTCTAGGCTTGCGCCAGAGGAAAAGGCGTGGGAAGCTCTTTGCTACCTGGCTGGGTCCTTGGCCGCTGCAAGTAGGAGGGGCTTTCTCAACTTCGCTCAACGATTGGCTAGTGCAGTCCGCAATGGTCTGATGCAACGCTTCTCCATTGCCAGGCTGAGCTTGCTCCCCTCAGGTCAAACCCTGGAGCTACTACCATCTTGCAGGGACCCGCGTGGGGCGTGGGGCAGGTAGCTTTGGGCTGGACCGTGGGGAGACTGGCCACTGGGGACGGCGCACTAGGTCAGCACTGGGACAGATTAAAGACTCGAAGCGGCACTTTGAATTTGCTCAGTTTTATTAGGGTCATCAAGATTCACAGGGAGAGGCAGGACTTCTGCGGGAGGGGGCAGGGATACAGCAAAGGCTAAGCAGCCTTGTGTAGTAGACACCAAGGCCTGGCAAGCTAGCAGGCACGGGCGGTAAAAGAGAGGACTGAGGAAGGGAAAAACTTGGGCGAACAGGATGGAGGCAGAGCCTCCAAGGCCACTGCGAGACTGCGATGAAGGCCACAATAGCCCTGCCCGCTTCAGGATCAGGGTGTCCACTCTATACAGCATGGGGAAAGAGGCTGGGGCCAACACCAAAGAGAAGAGGGCTAAAGGGGCCCTGACCAAGGCATCACAATAAATAGCAGCACACAGAAGCCTGTGGGGGAGGAGGGCCAAAAGAGAGGGGATATCTCCCCCCCCCCATGAGAACTCTGCAATTACTAAACCATAAAAATAAACTTTAAACCCGTGTACGAAGTCAGTTACACCCCAGAAGTACAATTCGGGGGGGGGGGGCTGAGAGGAAGGGCAAACAGGGCAAGGGAAAAGAGGGATACAGAGAGGAGATGGCCTGGGGAAGACTAAGATGTTTATCCAGTTTCCCCCATCTTCCTCATGTTGGACCAAGCGTTTGGAACCTGAAGCACCTGCTCCATGTCAGTGTCTTCTGAGTCCACTTCACTTCCCTCCTGGTAGCTGCTCTCACCTTGCTCACTGCCTGTGTAGGGCAGAGAAGCAAAGAAGGAAAAATGGTGGAGGGCATTAGATGGGACTCTAAAAGGGAACAGAACACATAGCCAGGGCTTTTGAGGGCCTGGGACCACTTACCAAGGGCCTCTGCTTGGAACAAGGCCTCCAGGGTGAGGATGAGTGGAAGGGAGGCAGGAAGGCAGGGTAGGCTCCCTGCCTTTGTTCTATCAAAATTGATACCACTCTGGAAGTAGCTTTTTTCCTCACTGTATTCCTCAATGTGTGTTTCTTCCCGAGCTCAAACCTCAGCTGAACTTCTGTTCACCCCCAGGCAGCCCCCTCACTTCTTCCCCCCAATCTGATCCAAACAGGCCCCCTCTGTCTTTTTAAGCACAATATCTACTCCCACCCATGGGCTGGGCAGACAGTTCTGCTTCCCATTCTTGGACAGAAGAGATGCCATCAGGTGGGAAAGAAAAATGATTGACAACTCAGTTTTCCTGCCCCATCTGAAAATGTCTAGATTGATGCAACTCATTCATTCAATGGCTTCATCCTTGGTAGCCTGTCCCTGCCCTCATTAGAAGTCTGTTAGGGACCCCATGCCCAAAACTCCAGGAGTGGCTGATGTTTCTGTCCCTTCCACATCCCTAATGGGCCCACCTCACCCCTGTCTGCCTATAACAAGTCTTCTGGGCCAGATCCAAACCTGGGAATCCCCTTAAATACTGCTTTCTCCCTCAAACCTCTGCATGCAATCCTTCCTTTGCATTTCCCAAAGTGAATTCTTTGGTGGGCAGTGAACACTGGCTTGTGGTCAAGAAGTTTAGGAAATGCTGGGTTCTACAAATTGAAATAGGGTTTTTAGAGCAAGACTTCTCAAAGCCTTTAAGGTGTCAATATACATGTGATTCTACAAGAGGTATTATTGTTGTTATTATTATTCTTTGAGACAGGGTCTTACTGTATAGTTCAGGCTGGTCTTGAACTATGTAGCCCAGGCTGGCCTTGAACTCATGGTGGATCCTCCTACTTCAGCCTCCTAAGTGCTAGGATTATAGGCATACACCACCGCACCCAGCTACAAGAAGTATTATTACATGCAGTATTTCTGCAAATGTTTTTGACCACCACACTCTTTTGTGAAAAGCAGCTTTCAGAACTGGTGAAGCATCCTCAGGAGACAATGTTGGAAATCTTGTCCAACATTCTATGCATTTTCACCCTTCCAGGTCCTTGCCACATTTTCCATTCCATAGAGAATTGCCTATAGTACTTCTCAGTGAGAATGCAGCTTCTAATTCAAAGTTTACCCCCTTGCTCTAGCTCTCTCCTCACCTTCCCCACTGTTGATGCAGAATTAGTTGCTCCGTCTATCCTCTGGGCTCACAGAGCATAATGTTACATCATTGCTAGTAGCCCAAATAAGCCTGGGAGTTCCTAGAAGGCCAGGGCTGGGTACACTGTATGTTGAATGTGTCACTTTTCCCCCTGTATATATGTATCCTTTTTAGTTTTCCACCCACTGTGTCCTATCTCCTGTCCACCCATCACTTAGAACTGAACCATTTTTAAGTTAAATGTTTTCTGGCCTTCCACTGTTTAAAAAGATGCTTTCTCTTACCTCCATAAGAATAGACTGTGTTCATGTCTGAATAACCTACACCAGGTTTTTTCTGAAAAAAGAGAATGAAGGAAGGTAAAGAGGGGTCTTGCTCACCTTCCTCATTGCCCTCTTCCTCTTCCTCCATTGGTTCTTCAGAGATGATCTCTACCTCATTCTCATAGTTTTCCTGGTTGGTGCTATTATCTTGATCCTTATCAAAGACTACAAAGTCATTCTTGTAGTATTCAATGTCTCTGTCATCATCATCGCTTCCCTCATTGTCACCCTCATTGCCATCATCATCACTGCCCTCATTGTCACCTTCACTGCCATCATTACCTTCATCATCACTGCTCTCATCTCCACTGTCACTCTCAATGCTGTCTTGGTTATTACCACTGCTGCCCTGGTTGCCATCTCCCAGGCTATTGTTGTCACCACCAGGATTATTGTTGGGATATTCATTGTCATAGGTATACTTGTTATTGTCTTCTGGGTTCTCACTGTTGTTATCAGGGCTCTCATTGTCATCAGCACTCTCAGTGGCAGTGATCACGTTGCTGGGGCGCTCATTGTAGTCAGGACTCTTTCTGTCACACAGGCTCTCATTGACGTCAGTTATCTCATTGTCACTGGACTCGAAGTAGTCAGTGGTCTCCATGAAATCAGAGATCTTGACATCATGAATGGTCTCATTGTCAGCAGTCTGGTCAATGTCTGAGATCTCGCTGAGAATGTCTTCCATGGCATAATGGTCATAAGCATCTTCCATGATCAGCATCTCATGATCATCCTTGGCTTTACTGTGGGGAAGTTTATAGCTGAGTATGAGGTTAGTAGGAGGCCCAGGGAATACACTGATAGATGGTAAGTAACTGGGGAGGCTGCAGTCTACAAGGGTCCTTAGGGATGAGGCTAGGGTGGAGAGAGTTCCATTTTTGCCTCTGGCCTACGCTTGTAACCTCAAGCCATTTCTGGGCATTATTCCTCACTTGTAAAACATTGCACTCGATTATCTCAAAGGTCCCTTGTGGCTCTATGAATCCTGTGATACCAGCCTAGTCTTTGCCCCATCTCCAACAAACTACTTCTCAGCTACCAATTCCCCCATCACCTTTCTTTCTCTTCTTGCTTCTTTCTGGTTGCCCTGATGCTCCCTTCTCTCATGTAGTAGCGTAGAGGGTTAACCCACAAGTCATTCTTGATAATCTGTTGAAAAAGAAAAGGAAGAACAGAGCCATGAATATAAGTCCCAGACCCTATTCCCAATTCCCCAGGCACCCCAGGGGAAGCCTAACAAGGCCTTTTCTGGTAATAACAGAAAGTAGCCTCACCTCAGCAATCCTGTCAGCTTCTGGAAGGCTGTGGTTTGAGAACCAGCTAAAGAAGCTATGGTTGGTGTCCTGGTTCCTGCGACCGTGGGCCTGGGGTTCCTGGCCCCGATGCCAGCGGATTGGAGTGGAGTGAGACACTAGCCGGCCTAGGGAGAGAGGAAGCCATGAAGAGGAGACTGGCTAATGATAGATGGAGAGACATGGATTTATCCTGGACTGCCACTTACCAGAGCGGTTGCGTTGGAACTCCTTGACAATCACCATGTTTGTAAAGTAGGGATTTGTCTGGAAGTATAGCTTCATTTTGTAGCCCATGGAGATATGTCTGAGATCCTGTACCTGCTCAAAATGGAGGTAATGATGGAATCTGCCTCCACCATGGCCCCTCCTACCCTCCTCACCTCAAAGAACCAGATTCTTTGGCCTTCCTCTTTGGCCTGACCTGAAGATTGGTCAAGTAGCGGAAAATGTCTTCATCACGTTGGTTGATCAAAATTGAAATTCTGGGGTGGTTGAGGAACTGATGAGTGGAGCAGTTTAGGTCAAGGATTAACTGTTCAATGAGAAGGGAGGGAAGGCCAGGCAGGGCAGAGCAAGAGAGGCTGGAACAGGAGGATTCCTTCTGTGTTAATGTATATGGAGCAAGTGGGTTATGGGACATGACTTATACTTGTATTACCATGATATATCTATGTGGTCAGATTGTTCATGCAACATTAAACCTCTGTTAGATGGTTCATATTTGCTGTGTCTATGTCCATGTGATTTTTGTTTCTAGGTGCTGATGGTTTATATTCACTTTAGTGTGGCTGAGAACTGAAGGCCCTGTGTTTAAATGCTGCTGCATATGCTGCTGAGGGCCTGTAGTCACATATTATATATGTGGGTGTTGAGTGAATAGCTCTGAAGGTGTGCTAAGGACCTATGGTCATATAATACTGTGTCTGCCTAAGTCTTGTATCTACATGATACTTTGTGCCTGTGTGCTGAGGGCCTGTGATCATATGCTACTTATACCAGGGAATCCATGTAATTCTGTTGAGATGTTAAACCTATGTGTTCTTAACATGTTACATGGATTTAGGTATACTCCTCTGGGATGTGCTTAACAATCACCAATAGTGAATGGGATTTTTCCTGTTCTCTTTCCTCCATTTAACTTCTTGATCTTCGTACCTAGGTATTCTTTCTCTCTCTTTTTTTTTTTGGTACCGGGGATTGAACTCAGGACCCTGCACTTGTGAGGCGGGTGCAGTGCCACTGAGCTAAATTCCTGGCCCAAGGTATTTTTTCTCTTGACCCTTCAGGTGCTCCAGCACTCCTCTAGGCCCCTCTCCTCTAATGGAGTGCACTTCAATCAGGACTGAGATCTCCTAGTGCCTATGAAGAGCCCTAGGCTTGCAGAGCCCTGTGTAGCTTAAGCACACAGTTGGGCAGTTTCTTTGCTGTATGCTTTTCTCCTCCCACTTCACTATCTCTGAGTCAATTTATCTTCTGTATGCCCTTCCTTTCCTTCTTTCACCATCTCTGGTCCAACTCTTCTGCTGTGTGCCCCCTCTATTACCCTCCTCCTTTTCATTGTGATGCATTTTTTTGTTATGCTCTTCTCACCTTTCCCATCTGAGGTCAGATTTTTCTGCTGTGTGCACCCTTCCCCCTTCATCATCTCCAGTCCAGCTTCTCTGCTGTTTTGCCCTCCTCCTTCCATCCCTCTTCCACCCAATCTAGTCCATCATCCCAGGGAGGGCTCGCCCCATCTTTGCTCCTCCCCAACACCCTTTCATTCTCACTGTCCCTCCCCCCACCTCTCCCTTTCTGTCATGGGTTTGTGGCCCATGAGTATCGATGAGAAGGATACTGCTTTGACCCAGAAGCCTGGGATATGCTGGATGATGAGATCTCTGCGCTCCAGGAAGGGTCTTCGCATCTGGATGAACTTGCGCTTGAGACGCAGGAAGGCCTTGCCTGCCTTGATGTTGACGGCTTCCAGGTCCATCTGAATGCTCTCCAGTGCCTGCAGGATACTTTCCATCCTCTCAGCATTCCCTTCTTTGCTTTCCTTCTTCACCTTCCTCCTCCTCCGTCTCCGCCTCCTCCTCACACTTTCCTTTTCATCCTCATCCTCATCTTCCACTATGATGACAGCCTCTTCATTCCTCTTTGGACCCACTAATATCTGGGGCCCCCACACCCCTGAGCTACAGGTTTCTAGGGCCTTCTCTTCAGCAAGGCTGCTGGGCTCTGCAACCTGAATATCAATTTCTAGGCTTTCCCCAGAGGTTTCGGAGAAGGGGGTTGTTTCCAGGCTCCCTGTGGGAGGGGGCACCTCCCCATACCCTGACTCAATCGCAGGATCCCAGCCGGGCCCCCCTGCCCCCAGGGTGAAGTATGCGCGGATCCCTCCCTCCTCTAGAATGACATAGGGAGGCGGTGGGGGCAGCGCCGGGCCCAGTCCCACCCCCCTCATGTCAGCCAGGACCTGTGCCGCCTCGGTTTCCTCCCGGAGCCTCGGACGCTGCTGAGGTGGAGGCAGGGGCAATCTCAGGAGCGGCGGCGGCGGCGGCTGGTGGCGCTGAGAAGGCCCCAAACTGCTCAGGCGGAGGGTCTTGGCAGGAGGACCTTCATCCGGGCGGTCCATGGTTACCGCGCTCACAAAGCTCAGGGGATTGCACTCGCTCCTTCGCTTTCAATCCAGACGTCGCTACCAGTCACACCTGAAGTGCAGCTGTCTACCCTCACAGGAGCAGCTCGCCCCACCGCCTCGCTCTGGCGATCCCTCCCACAGCGCCTGCCCTACTCCCTCCGCGCCAATCGCCAAAGCCCCACCCACTGTTAACGCAAGGGGCCTTGCTCTGCCTCACTATTGGCTGCCGGCCGCCGCTGCGGCTCTTGCGCTCCTCCGACCCCTTCCTTCTCTCACGCAATCTGCTTGCCAACACTACACGTCATCACTTTCCGATTGGTTCCCCTCGCACCTGCCAATCGTAGGATTGGACACCCCACCCCCACCCCCAGCGACGAGAGGAAAACTGCCAGGCAATTGGCTGCGAGGAAAGCTAGGGAGAGAAGCTTTCTTTCTCATTCTTGCAACGTTTTATCCAATGGGGAAAGTACTAGACGTTCTGAAGACCAGAAAAGAAGACGAAAAACAAACGCAGGCACTGAGGAGGTTGTGCTCAAAACCGAGGAGCCTCGCTGTCGTCCCCCCCCCCTTCTCCTAAGCAACTACGCACTTCTTAAATCTGCCCCTTCCCCCACTCCCTGTTTCTGCCCCAGGGGTGAACTCTGCTATTTAGTCTCAGAACCCGGGCTGACCTGGCGCCTGCAATTTAGGCACCCTGGGTCTTTGGTATTCGGGCCAGATTTTAAGGTGGCGTTTTCTATCTCTACAAAAATGGCTCTAAAGATAATCACACACACACTCACACACTTCTTTTGCATCATAAAATGATTGATTCATTCAGCTCATCTAGCTTTTTCTAGGGCTTTCTATCTCCGTCTACTAAATATTTATTAAATTTATCTTGCTTTTAATTGTATCTTAAATTTTGTGTGTGTGACTAGAGATGTATGGTCCTGGGTAAGGCATGATGGTGGAGGTCTGGCTTTGGCTCTGGAATTCACATCAATGGGTGTGCTCCTAACCCTAACCAAATCACTGCTCCTCTGTGAGCTTGTTTCCTATATTAGGTGTCCCTAAAGAGAGGTGTAGGTAACTGCCCATTGCAGCCTTGTTATAGCAGAGAATTAGAGGGAACCTAGGAATTCATCACCAGGGGAATGGATAATAAAAATGTGACATGTTTTAGGATGGATCACTAGAATGAATTAGGTCTATATACGGCAACATGGCTGGATCTCTCAAAAACAGAATATTGAGTGAAAAAACAAACAAGATTTATAGTACAATACTGTTTATGTAAATTAAAACATACAATACCGTATATTTTTCACAGATACACATGTGTAAATAAACACACGAACAGTGGATTGGAAAGACAGGTCAAATACGAAAGAGCAGGTGCGTATGTGGGGTGTGGGAGGATGGAATCAGGGTTGGGTAATGAAGGGTACAAAATGAAACAAAAAGAATAAAAGGGCATGGACCAATGATGATATAATGTGTTAAGAACTGAGGAGTATGGTCAACTCAGTTCTGTGCACCCTAGAGAATTAAGTAAACAAACAGTAAATTGAGTGCCCAGGGAGTAGGAAGACTGGGTATGTTCCCAGATTTGGGTTTTTATGCCATGACATCACTTTCTCTGAATTTAGTCAAAGCTGACCAAAATCCCAGCTGTATCAGTTCCCACAAGGTTTGAACCTCAATTAGTCCCCATTCTCCATGGTGGTCCAATTTCAAGAACACATTGTTTGAGTTTTGGGGAGATGAAAGAGATGAGGTTCTCAAATATCCTGACTTCCTTTCCCCGTATTCAGTGCCTGAACCAAGGGAAGACAATCTTATGCGATGGGAGTCAATCCTCTTGTACATACATACATAATACAATTTCCAAACTCTATCTCCTGAATACCCTACTGCCTGCACCAGCACAAACTCTAGTTTGTCTCCTCTCAACAAGATATGTGTGTGTGTGTGTGTGTGTGTGTGCATGCTATATGTCTCCACATACAGGCATTTGCTTATATGTGTGCACCAGATAAGTTTTCCTTAAGCATGTCTCACCACACAAAGTCTCACAGACACATACTATCTCACTCAATCATACTTTCTCACGTAGTCACACAGATAGGACACAGAGATGTGCATGTGCGCACATACACACACACACACACAGAAAAGAAAACATCCAAAATAGCATCTGTCATTTTAGTTTTTCCATTTACAAAATCCAATGGTGAATCCAGGCAGTTAGAAAAAAGACATGGAGGAAAACCCTCCTGAGTGTACCTTATTTAACCCCACCCACCCACCCTTTGGTCTCCCCACCCTATCCCCTCAGAAAGGCACCCCCATCACTATCACTGAGAGAACATATACCCCAACCCTGGCCTCTCAGCCACTCTGGCCTGCCTTTTCAGGGCCACTCCACAGCCAGGCTCCTTAATTCTCTCCTGCCTAGAGTGCCCTCCTCAATCCCTTTGGGTCAAGGCTTCCCCAGTTAGGGAGCTGTCTTGGGTCAGGGAGGGATCTTAGGACAGGGGCTTCTACAAGGAAGAGAAAGGGGGATGTAGGTAAATACAGATAAGTCCTGTTCCCGGAAGAAATGAGAAAGGGGCAGAGAGCCTGGGCAAATCCAGGCAAAAAGAGTGTCAGCTTGGCTCACCCATCCTCAGAACTGGCCTTGAAGTAAGACTAGAGCAGATTCTGCCCCTGGAAGGGAGGCCTGGGACCTTTCACCTCGGGAATCTGGCTGCAATCTGTTCCACTTTGAGTGCAGGTAAGGTTAGAGGGAGGAAGGGTGTTGGGGATTGAGAGCCTAGGAGGCCATGGGCTATCAAGGAAGGGCTTGAGGCCCCTGAGGTTTGAGGGGGACAAAAAGAGGTCAGATAGGAATGGACTCAAGTCCACAGTGCCTTGGAATCTGTACCATGATCAGTTATCAAGGCCCCAAAAGAATTTTAATCTTCAGAAAATCAGTGTGAACCCAGGAGACAATTCTTGGATTGAATTTAGCTCTGATCCCAGGCTCTGGGGTTCAGCTTCCTCCTTACACTTCCTTGCAGGGTATCTCCTGCCTGCAGAACACCCACATCAGCCCAAGTAGGGCTGGAGTGGATTTCCATCCTCAAGAAGGAGAGGTAGCAGCTGGGGGTTCAGGAGGCAGTGTGAGAGAATGTAGACAAGATTGGTCTCTTTAGCTTGAGCAGTTCAGCTCACATCCTGCTCTTCACCTAGCCTGGGCCCATACTGGGGGGCCTTCTCCCTACCCTCTTGGCTTCTCAAATGGATCCTCAAGAAACACTTGGAAGGCCTGGACATGGTGGGGAGGGACCCAGTCCTCTCTTTTGTCCCTGTTTTCAGCAGAATCAATTTATCCTTAAACATCCATCCAGGCTTTGCTTAAAGGACTTGGAAAGGGAAGGGGCCTGGGAGCAGAGGGAGCAATAAGACCTATGGCAGTCTATTTTACAGGACAAACTTCCTCCTCTGGACAAACTGAGAAGGAGAGACATAAATCAAGGAAAGCCTGTCTCCTCAGAAGTTAGTAGAAAAACTTGCATTTTGAGGGTTTTTTTTCTGAAGTCATTTGAGAGAGGAGGGGGAAGGGAGGAAGTGGGGAGGAAGGGAGAGAGAATACGAGAGTGTAGAAGTGGAGAAGGAGGCTGTGGAGACAGGCCCCACAAAACTAGAAATGCCTCTTTCCCAGTTTTCTATGCAGTCCCCCAGCCTGGGGAGGTGTTGACAAAAGTCCCTAGATTACAGTTGGTTTGAAAGCTGAGGCTGGAGCTCAGAAAAAAAGGCTTCTGTATGGGGCCCCACCCTTCCCTTGCTTTTGGCCCCATCATGGAGGCTGTGACCATTTCCCTGCTTATCTGCCTACCGCCTGCTTCACATGACACAGTAGGGTTCTCTGGGAGCTGGGGCACCTCCTGTGCCCCAGCAGGGGGTATGAGTCCTCAGGCACTTCTTGAGGTCCTTGTTGAGCAGGAAGCAGACGATGGGGTTGACAGCAGCCTGGGCGAAGCTCATCCAAACAGCGGTGGCCAAGTAGCGGTGGGGCACAGCACAGGCTTTCACAAACACTCGCCAGTAACAGGCCACAATGTACGGTGACCAGAGGAGCAGGAAGAGCAGTGTGATTGCGTAGAACATGCGGCCCAGCTGCTTTTCACCCTTGACCTCATCCATGCCCAGCAGCCTCCGGCTGCCCGTGTGCCCATTCTGCCGGATACCCAGCAGGGTTGGTGGCATGGGCCCGCGGCCAAAGCCAGCGATCCAGTTGGCAGCAGCCTGGCCGGTAGCCCCAGGACCATGGAATGTCCAGTTCTGGCTGATGGCTGGCACCATCTGCACTGGCTTCATCTTGCGGTGACGGTACTCAAAGAGGAGCAGCTTGCCATAGACAGCATGTGTGGCTACCATGAGCACAGCCAACATAAGCATGAAGCCCAGAGTGTCATTGGCCTTGAAGTATCGATGCTCAAAGATGCACTGGTCCTCCTCCCGGATAAACTTGTAGGTGCCCACATCAAAGACAGGTGGGAAGGCCATGGCCACAGACAGGGTCCAGGCCATGCAGATAACAGCTGCGCATGTCCAGAGTGTCATGCGCTTGGTGTAGAAGCGGTGGTGTGCGATGGCCATGTAGCGGGTGACGCTGATGCAGAAGAGCATGAAGGCTGCATGGAAGCAAAACAGCACGGCCATAAAGGCCACAATCTTACAGCTGAGTGCACTGAATGTCCATGAGGAGCCGTGGCGCACAGAAGCCAGCACAAAGGGGAAGCAGACGGCAGAGCGTATGCCATCAGCTAGGCACAGGTCCAGCAAAAAGTAATAAGGAGCTTTGTGCAGGGCACGCTCCTTGAGCACTAGCAGGGACAAGATGGCATTGCCCCCCAGGCTCACACACATGATCAGTCCCAACAGCACCAGCTTCACATAAGCTGATGCTGACGGTGGGGACAATGCGCTGCTCACCTCCTCTGGCTCTCCGGTGGTGTTGGCCATACTGAGGGGTAAGGACTACTCCCAACCCTACAGGGTGAGCCAGTCTGGTACTCGATGGGTCCTGAGGGACTCCATCAGTTGTCCTGCTGGGCTGTACCTGCAAATGTGGACAAGGGGAAAAATACAGACACAGAGAGACAGAGAGATGAGGGCAGGAGAGAGAGACAAAGAGAAAAATAAACACAGACAGGCAGAGACAGAGTGGGAAAAAAAGACAGAAAAATGGCAACAAAGATGTAATGGACAGAAAATAATACAAATGGACAGGATGAGCAAGATTAAGAGAGTGATGAGAGACAGAGAGCATTAACAGACAATGAGAAACAAATGGAAAGGAAAGTGAGTAAGAAAGAGAAAGGGTGGGGTTATTGTGTCTATAGCCCCTCCCACTGACTCCCCAGCTAGGGTCAGACCCTGAGCCTGGTCTATTCTTGATCCTACTTCCTCCTTGCTGAGTATGGATGCTTCATCTCTCTGGATGTCTTTGGTTACCTATTTCCTCCGTTGGTGAATTACATGGGCTGGGGATGTTGGTGCAGCTCCTCTCCCCCTTTGCAAATCCCTAAGACATTTTACATCACAACTCAGTACACATATGCACACACACACACACACACACACACGCACACATACCTCAGTCAAAAATTTTAGAAATAGCACTGATCCTATGTGTAATGTACCCAAATTCTGGCAGCCACTCCTTGAATTGATTTTTCAATTCATGATCAGGAATGTGCTTCCCATATTCAAGGAACAGTGAGAAGATTAGTGTTACTGGAATGGCATGAGCAAGGAGGACAATGGTAGGTGAGGTCAGAGGTGTCCAGAGCCAGACTGTGGGCCATGACTAGGATGCTGGTTTTTATTTGAGTGAGATAGGGAGTATATGTGAGTATAAAGATGTATGTATGTTTGTATGTGCTCATTTGTTCACTGAAAAAAATATTTATTGAGCATCCACTGTGTGCTAGGTATTGTTCTAGGCACTGAGAATCCATCTGTGGGCCAGATAGATAAAGATCCTGCCCTAGTGAAGCTGACATTCTAGATAATAAGAGACATAGGTGAAGTTAGTATGTCAGATGATGACAAGCTCTTAGAATAAACATAAAAGTGGGAAAGGGGATAGGGAGGGCTAGGTATGGGGAAGGTGTTGCAGTTTTCACTGCAGTAGACAGGGAAGACTTCATGGAGGATTAGTATCTGAGCAGAAACCTGAAGGAGGTGAAAGAGTGAGTCATGTGGCTATTTGGGAGAAGACAAGTCCAGGCAGGGGGAACAGCCAGAGCAAAACCCCTTAGGTAGGACTATGCATGGCACATCTGAAGAAGAGCAAGGAGGCCACAGAGAGCAAACAGAGTGAGCAAGGGGCAAGTGCTGAGAGGTGAGGTCCGAAATGTGGCAAGGACAGATCTCAGAGGCCATAGTGAAGACTTTGACTTGGAATGAGATGAGAGTCTTGGGAGGATTCTGAGGAGAGGCAAGACATTATATGATTTAGAACTGAACAGGATTCCACTTGCTACTGTGAAAAGAGATCATATCAGGCAAAGGTAGAAGTAGAGGGACTATCAGGAGGCTCCTGCAATAGTCTAGGTGAAAAGTCATAGCACCTCCACGCCCCTTTCTCTCATTTTTCTTTCTAGAATTTCTCTCTTCTAACACTCTATATAATTTACTTTAAAAGTTTTGATTCTTGCCTGCCTTGTGTTATTAGAAAGAAAGCTTCATAAGGGCAGGTATTGTAGACTCACTCACTTTCCTCTAAAAGAGCAGGACAGAGCAGGTAGTAGGTTGTCAATGAAAAGATCCCAAGTTAATTGATTGAGGAACTAAATGCACTGGTAGGTAACAAAGGCTCCCTGGAGACTTCAGGCAGACTTTGTTGAAAGAGAGGCCTGAGGAGTGTGTCTGCAGTGCAGTGAGAGCAGCACAGCAAAGCTTGGGGGAAACAGAAGTCTTGGTGTGTGCAGTCTGGGAGTTCGGGGATGTGATAAGGTGACAAGGCAGGTCCCAGAAGGAAGGCAGCCAGGCTACTTGGGCAGAAGCCGGAGAAGCTCAGGATTATTGTGGAGGCCAGGGCTTGCTGGGCTAGAGCTTGAGTAGATGTCTTCGTGCCCTTATTCTTCTAGTCGAAAGGGTCCCCTCTGCACTGTTTTGCAGGCCAATCCAACCTGGCCTGCACAGTCACTTGGAGCTGATGGTACTGTGAAGTCTCAGAGCCAGTAGCCTACTGGCATGAGAAGGTCCTAGGCAGGAGAAAAGTGGGGCTGAGGGCCCTCTTTCAGTTTCTTGAAGCCTGGTGGCACCTTCAGCTCTCAGTGGCATATGTGTAAACGTGCATGCATATACACACAGGCATACACACACTTTTTAGCTTTGAGGGTAGGCAAGGGGAAAGGGATAGAAGACTGAATGTAAGAAAAAGTCAGAGAGACACACAGACAGTGACAGAAGGAAAGAAGTGTGTGTGTGTGTGTGTGTGTGTTTGTGTGTGTGAGAGAGAGAGAGAGAGAGGAGGGGAAAAGACAGAAACAGAAACAGAAAGAAGAGAGACGAAGAGGTAGAAATAGAGACAAAAGGGGAAAGAAGAGTGAGAAAAAAGACATAACACAACAGAGAAGGGAAAGGAATAGAGACAGGGACAGAAAGAGAAAGATAGAAAAAGGGACAGGGAACTCCATTTCCAGATAGTAAAGAGCTGTTATAAATATGTTTAAAAAGCACACTGGGTTTGAGAAGGCTATGAATTGCTCATACACACAAACACACTCAGACTAGAAAGATCTAGAAGACTGGGAGAGGGAGGAGATGAGGGTAATGCTGGGGAGTGAGAGACAGAGAGAAGGAGCTGGAGAGAGACAGGCAAAAACAGAAACAAAGATGGAGATAGAGATGAAGACAGAGACACACTAAGATGGAGAAGATGAATAATGTGCAGCCCAGAGTCTCTATGAAAACAAAAGCACAAAAAAGCCCACAAACAACAAAACAAAACAACTTCTCCCACCTCAAATAATAGCAAATGAACAAAAGCCCTGGTGTTGCTGGGAAAGCTAAGAGACTGTACGTGTCTGTGTTCCTAAGCACAAACTGACGGCCACAGCTGGGGCCCAGCTCAGGGTAAGGATGGGTGTGCATGGACAGAGCAAACCTGATAGTGCCCATACCCTTGTGCACAGACCTGCACACTCACAGACCCTCTCAGATAGCCTACTGCTATGGAGACCCAGGATCAATTAGCTCATATATGGGGAGCGCGTGCCTGCACGCACAAACGGAGGTGGAGGTAGGTCTTGTACTCTGCCTTTTCACAAAAGTACACAATGTACCCTGCTGAAGCACCAGCGCTTTGTCCTCAATAAAAGCATTGGTGTGCCCTAGGAGATAATTTGGACATTTGTAGGAACATTTTTGATTGCCACAAGGCTGGGGTGGGTGTAGGGTGTCCTAACATTTAGGTTTCCAGGGTGAGATGCTAGCCACCCAGTGACAGGTGGGGCAGTCCCACACCACTAACAAATATCCCAAATCCCCTAGGACTTTGAACTTATAATAAATTGAACCTAGAATCGAACTCTATTTCACAGATAAACACCAGTTTTTCTCCTGAATTATTCAGGAATGTGGCTGTGTACTTCCTGTGTCTCATTTTCCCCCTTCTGCTAAATCCATATTTATTATAAGGCCTTATAAGCCTCTAATTACTTTCTTAAATCTGGAGAGTGCCACACTCGAGCATTTATGTATTTAAATATAAATTATTTTCTTATACATCACTTTTTAAAAATTTCTTATTTATATAATAATTATTATAGCATGGATATTGTATGAAATGCTACATGGATTTTCTTTTAAAATTACATGTGCAGAGAGATTAAGAACTCCATTTCCAAAATAGGAACAAAATCTTTGTAAATAGGGAGGACTGGGGGGGTTGAAGGGAGGGCTGCGCAAGGGTGAAAAATAAGAACCAAGAGAGACTATGTAAAGGTGCAAATTTCCAACGATGAATGTCATTATATTGTATACCTAAAATGTACCAATTATTAGAATGAATAATCGATAATGTAAAATAGGAAGAAAAGGTCCAAAGGGGTAGGGGTAGTGGGAGGGGCAGGGGAAAGGAAAGAAGGGAAAGGAAAACATGATGAGAAATGGAAAAAATGGAAATAAAGTCTTTGTAAATAGGGAAGGGTGGAGGGTGTGAAGGGAGGGCTAGGAATGGGGAAAAAATAAGAACCAAGATGCATTATGTAAAGGTACAATTCCCAATGAGAAATGTAATTGTGTTGTATACCTACAATGTACCAACAAAAGAATTTAATACAAAAAAAAAAAAAGAACTCCATTTCCAGATAGTAAAGAGACATTATAAATACGTTAAAAAAGCACATTGGGTTTGAGAAGGCTGAAAATCGCTCATACACACAAACACACTGAGATTCACACTCTCACAAACATGTAATGGTCCACAAAACCACATTTATAATTCCCTTAACACACACACACACACACACACACACACACACATACGGATGAACTTTTTTTTTTGGTACCGGGGATCAAATTCGGGACCTTGCGCTTGCCGAGGCAGGCGGTAGAACCACTGAGCTAAATCCCTGGCCCATGGATGAACTCTTAAACACTGCCAAATAGATACACATGAGCAAGCCTATTCACACACACTGTCATTCACACACAGACACATATATACCCATTGATCCAATATATCTGATTATTCAAATAATCTCACCTAATCAAAGTTTCACAACACAAGTGAGTACACAGTGGCATGTCTATATTGTCATATATACACACACTAACACTCAGATTCAAAGTCACCTTACATATGCCAACAGGCTCACACACTTGAAACCTACCACCCTCTACACACACACAGATATGTACACACAGAATTCCCCTCAGATACCTACCTACAAATATATTTACATAGAGAAAGATCCAAACCTTCTCTCATAAATCAGGTATACTCACCAACAGTTATATACATCCTGGCACATATACACACATGCCCATTCACATATGAACCCTCACCCACGCACAGATGTATGTTCACTGTTTCTGTTCCTGTTTCTCTCTAACACACACACATACGCACACACAGTCACTTACTTTAGCAATATGCAAGTAGAACCAAACACAAAGATAAACACTGCCCGTGTATACAGACACTCTCACACAGACAGATACTTGCATATAGGCAAATGTGTACACATAACAATTTTCTCACACACATACACTTACTGCTATAAACCGTTCTGCAACAGGTGTACTCTCAGGGATAGACCTACTCATCTTCCCAGACCAGCTAACTTATGCAGGGATATGTGAGAACATGAGAAGAGCTGCCCAGCTGGTGGGCACTTGCCATAGCAAGGGATGGAGCAAGAAGAGCTCCAGATGGCTGTGGAAAAATGGAGATTATAAATTTTTTTAAGCACTTCCTATTGAAACATCCCAGATAGTCTGATTATTACTTTGCTACTTGTTTATCATTAATGAGGTTTCTGATTTGGGCTACACCTACATGTACAATGTTTTTCTTTTAATTTGATCTTGTTCTTATTTTTCCACAATTTTTTACACATAAATAGAAAGGTTAGGGGCTAGAGTGTAGCTCAGGTGGTAGAGCACTTGCCTAACATGCAAAGGCCCTCAGTTAGATCCTCATCACCACTATCAAAACAAACAAACACACACACAAACAAGAAGAAGAGGAGGAAGAGGAAAGGTTATGATTATTACTATTACAGACTACAGGTTATACAGCTTCAGTATCCTTTATCCAAAATGTTTGGGACCCAATGTGCTCCAGATTTGGGATTTTCTTAAATTCTTGGAATATCTGCACATATATAACAAGATATCCTGGAGGTAGGACCCAAGTCTAAACACGAAATTCCTTTGTGTTTTTGTATACCTCTTAGACACATAGCCTGAAGGTAATTTTATACAATATATTTAGCGCACCTGTGTTTTGACTGCAACCTGTCACAACAGGTCAGATGTGAAATTTTCCACTTGTGGTATATGCTCAAAACTTTTCAGGTTTTGGAGCATTTCAGATTTCAGATTTTTGGATTAGGAATGCCTAATCTATATTATATAGTATTAGGCATTTTTAACAGAAATATTTTGTTAATTTCCTTGATTATTGCTTCCTTTTAAAAATAACTTTTTGTTATAGAGCATGTGTATCCAACATTTTGGCTTGCCTGGGCTGCACTGAGTGAAAAGGAATTGTCTTAGGACATATATAAAATATAATAATATAATATACTTAATGTATATAAGTACCAAAATTTTCTTTTTTTCTACATTTTAACTTACTAAATTATTTTATTAAATAACTCAAGAAATCCAAGTCTAACAATGGAATTAGAAAACGTACATGCCTGCGTAATAACAATAAGCACCTGTCATCACAGAGACTTACACATGTAGGTAGGCTGAAATACTATTATTGGTAAATGCTGTGTTTTACACTCCAAGTCACACAAGAGTAAGCACCATGCAATTGAGTCATGAAATATATCATTAAAAACCATACAATAATGCTAAAACTTTACAATTTTGTAGGGCTATATTACTAGCTGTCTCAGGAAACACACAGCCAGCTTATGGGCTGTGAGTTAGACATGCTTGAAATGGAGTATTTAAAACATAAAAAAGTAGAAGGAACACTATAGTGAACTTCAGTGTAGCCAATGCTCAGATTCACGAATTATCAACTCAGAACCAGTCTTGTTATGAATATAACTCTGCCTATTTCCTTCATTTCCCAGTATCCCAAAGCATATCTAATTACATCATTTCATTCATAAGTTGTTTCTCTTCTTCAAACCATCTGTGTCTAAAAAATAAAGACTCCTTTAAAAACATCATTTTTATTATTTCTTGGTTTGTTGATTTACCTGCATTAGCATCTGTTCTCTTTTTTTTGTGGTACTGCGAATCAAACTCAGGACCTTGCACTTGTGAGGCAGGCACGGTGCCACTGAGCTAAATCTCTGGCCCCTGCATCTGCTTTTAAAATTAGCCAAATCTGGTTCTTAGTAGTATTTCATAATTAATCTGATGTTTTTAGGTAAAAATATTTGTCAGTAAATGAATGAAGAGTGACAAAAGTTTAATTGAATTGATTCATAAAAGGCAAGTTTAGGCTTTGATGCTTTTGTTTCTGAGTGTTGCTTTCTTAAAGCAGAGAAAAATCAGTTTTCAGAAGTTACAAAGTTCTCCTGTACCCTTCAATAGAAAGACTCCAGGGTTGGGAGTGTAGATCTCTGGCAGAGTGCTTGCTTAGAATATGAAAAGGCTCCCAGTTCCAGGCAGGAGGGAGATAGAGAGAGAGATATGTTTTATGAGATAATTAAAACATTCTTAGAAGGAGCTCAACCAGCTAGTGACAGTGTTGCACAATTAATGAGCATATCTAAGATGTCCTTCCCAGTAAAATCTCACATATTAGCAGTTTTCGGAGAAAATATCCATACTATATTTAGGACCAGTGAGGTAAAGAAAATAGGAAAGGAGACACTTTCAATTATTTCTGATGATAAGTTAAAGGATACTGAGAAGACACTAACCTGGAAGATTGTTGAGTGGAAAAAGCTTTCATTTTTATATTGATGCATCTGTGGATGCTTTCTGACTGTGCTTACTTCACAGTTCTAGTTAGAAGCCCTAAGAGAAATGCAAGAAATACCGAAATAAACTAAGGTTGAAATATGCAAATTGATTCATGAATATTTTGAAAAATTGTGGAATCTCTGCCTAAGTCTGATGCTCCTGTTGTGATGGCAGAAAGTTTGTTTTGATAACACAGAGATTTATTCACCTGTAAAAATTTACCTGTAGGTCTAATTTTCACAGAAAATAATGCTGGGTGTATTTAACTAAATCTAAGATAATCCCCACCTGTGTTTCAGCTTTCTGTGAAGAACTGGGATCTGTAAACCTTTCTCTGCTATTTAAGCCTAAGTGTGTGGGAATTTTTTTTTAAAGGAAGTAAAATTTGCATGCATTCCTGAAATACAGAGTAAGTTGAGCTTGGTTTCTTGATGAGACTTGAAATGTAAGATATTTTTAATAATTAATGATCATCAATGTCCTCTAATCAAGACAGAACTTGTTATTTAAATAAATATCCTTCAGAATTGAAAGGTAAATAGGAAGATAATTCATATCTGTATTTTTCTCTGTACTGTGTTTTCAAACAGGTAACAAATGCTTCATATGTGAAAGTGAGCAAAAATTCAAGTACAAGTTCTAGAGGCTCCTAGAGATTTCTTAGCATTTTCTCTGTAGATGATCATTTCATCTACATATAAAGATTTTGCTTCTGCCATGCCAATCCTATCCTAGTTGTGTCATTTTATTGCCAGACTATTTTGGTGGGGACTAGGTTTCAAAGTTTAATGGACAGATAAAGAGT